GGAGCTGGACCCTTGATCGCTCTTACGCCCCACCTCGAAGTTCCCTTGATTTCAAACGGCTTGTCCCTTTGGTTTCTGTTTGCGACAAGTGAATGGTTTGGCAAAACGCCAAGTTTCCACTCAACGATTCCTTGTTTGGATGTTTGCGGGAAGGAAAAAACAGATCGTCGACTTCTTTATATCCTTCTTTTTTTGAAGTGTCTCACAGGATCCAAAAGCTGAAAGAAGGTGTGGAACAGTTTTCAGTTTTCACACGAGGATCGGCGGAAGTCGCGGATATAGTTTCCGCGGATTTTTTCCTACTCTCTGCTGCCCTGTGTCAGCTGAGTATTTCCACTTGGCTCGCGAGGATGGATCACTGATCGTTATTTCCCCAGAAGGGAATCAGGGCCCCGGGGGTCTTGGGGGGCTCTTGTACTTCTTGTACTCCGAATTGCGGCGATGCAAGGCCGACAAAGTGTGGCGTTGAGCGACCGGATTGGCGGGCCTGGCGGGTGACGCGCGTGGTATCGTGGCGCAGGCCGAGGTACCAGCTGATCATTTGTTCTTCGAGATCAAAGACATTTTTGATTCTGGCCATCTATCGGCCGTCTTGAATATGTTGGTTTGCCCATGTTTGTAAGCAGGCGTTTAACATCTCTTTTGGCTTCGATTGTTTGTTGGACATTCTAGAGGTGAGAAGGGGTTTCTGTTAGCGCCCTTCAGGGGACCGGGACAAAGACCTAACCCAGGCCCCCAGCGGCACGGATGCTGACTTGCATATGACAACGGTTGCTGGTTTCCGAAAGCCGAACTTGAAGTTATCTCGAGTTCAGAAAACGGGAAAACAGATAAACTTCAAACATCGTGATGAGAAGTTCGCGATGTTCACGAGTTTGGTGGAGGAATTGGAAGGCACAAGCACAGCATGCACTGTGCAACAGGGCCTGCAACTGCAACCGAGATAGCGCCCAGACCACTGCGCCTAGCACTGTATGTCGATCCCTTCGTTGACGTCACAGAACGCCGGTGTCGACTTACACGACTTCATTCGAGATCCGACTTCCACTTCAAATTTGACTGAACAACATCAGAACAAACAATCACGAGACATTCACTCAAAGAATGCTTCTCAGCCGAATCCTACCAAATCCAGCTTCGATCTTTCGTTCCAGCCAACCGAGAACACTTCGCCTGTCACAGACCATTGCCTCTACGCCATCACCAGCTTTCCAAATCAGGAATCCCCTCCAGACTTTCATCATGAGCATCCACATGAAGGGCCATTGTGTCTGCAAAAACTTGCAGTACTCACTAGAGCTTGAGTCTCTCGACGACGCCAGAACCACTCTCTGCCATTGCAACAGCTGCAAAAGGGCATTCGGAACCAACTATGGTCTTACCACAAAGGTTCCCCTCAAGGGCTTCAAGTACGAGACCGGCACGCCAAAATTGTTCAAGCAACATAACGGAGTGACAAGAGAGTTCTGTGATAACTGCGGCGCCTACATCTGTGAATACGGTGTAAGCTTGGTCTTAACTGGATATCATTTGGGAACATATTACTTACACCTTCGCAGGAAGAGGCAGCAGACAAGTTCCGATACATCATGTGGGGGTCCTTCAACGAGCCGGAAAAGGTGCCTCCCAAGGGCGAGTTCTTCTGCAAGAACAAGCCCAAGTGGATGCCCGATATTCCAGGTATGGTTCAAGAGGTTGATATGGGGGTGAGTCAAATATCCGTTAAGTGTAAAATCTAACCAAGTGATCGCAGACACCTTCCGCAAGCAGGAGATCAAGGAGTAACGAGGTCGACAAGACGTATGGCGTGGAACAACGCCGGAACGAGCTTATGAATAATGATATTTTAGCGTCGAAACACAGTTAACGTTCAGCTAATGTCTCACGATCTCCTTCTCGTGCTGAAGTTGATGAGGATCGATGATAATGGCGGCTCTTCCCTGGAGCTTGCCGCTTGAAACCACCTTTTCCAGCTCCTCGACCTGGTCTAACCCGTAGAACGGCGTCATCTTCACCTTAACCCCATGTTCAGCGACAAACTGCAACATCTCTTCGCTTTCCTCTCCAGAACACTGCAAGCTTCCCTTGACTCTCACATCCCTCAGTATCAACTCCATGAAAGGAATCTTCACCTCCAAAGGCTGAGCGACCTGCACCATTAGCCCATGCATCTTGGTAATTGCACATGCCAATCCAGCTGCGTCATCGGCGTCTGACAGGTTGACAGTAGCATCGACACCTCCCGTAGCAAACAGTCCATTATGATCAATATCCTTCCCATCCTCTCCTAGTACCGCCTTTCCAACTTCACTCACAACCTCATCCTTGTCTCTTCTCGCATCAACAACCACATCAGCCCCCATCTCCCTCGTCAACTCCAAACCTTCATCTCTCGCCTCAATTCCAACAACCTTCAACCCCATCTTCGTCGCAAACTGCACTGCCAAATGTCCCAACCCACCTCCCGAACCAACAATACCCAACCACTGCCCCTGCTTTAACCCAGCCTGCTTAACAGCCCTCCACGCCGTCCTGCCCGCGCACCCCAGCGGCGCCGCCGCCAACAACGAGACTCCATCCGGAATCACCGTGCTCGTCCGACTATCAACCACGGCATACTCAGCAAATACCCCGTCGACTTGGATACCGATGTGTCCGTCTATATGCGCGCAGTACTGTCTGTAATGTCCCCCAGAACAATCGCCACAAGCACCACAAAGCCCCAGCGGAATGCCGCACATGACTCTATCGCCCACTTTGAATGATCCTTCCTCAGAAACGGAGGAGCCGACGGCTATTACTGTTCCGGAACCTTCGTGAGATGCGGTCAAAGGGAGAGGAATGCTAGGTACGGCTCCGAGACGGATGATGGTGTCGGTGTGGCAGTGGGAGGCGACGGCGATTTTGACGAGTAGGTCGTGAGGTCGGAGAGAGGAAGGGGAGGGGACGGGGATGTTGGTTAGAGTGTAGGGTTGGTTGTAGGTTGTGATGCGGAGGGCTTGCATCGTTGCTGGCAGGGAAGGCCCGGAGGGGGAGGGGGTTGGCTCGGTCATGGTGGCTTTTTGGTGTTGAGTGTGAGTATTTGGAGATTTGTTTGATGGGAAAAGTGATGATGTTGTCAATGGTGTTGAAGAGTGAAAGAAAGGAGAAGAGGAAGGGTTTCAGATGATCGACGATATTATTGCAATGGACCCGCTTCGACACGTTGTCATCTTGCGGGGTGACATGTGGTTGGTAGGAATCTGATCGGAAGGGCCGTCATCAATTCACTTCCACGAGTGGCTCAATCCCTCATAAGAGAGGTGATGTATCACCACACCATCTAATTGAGGTTGTACAGGCACCACAGTCATCTTGAGATGGCTTACTGCACATCGCCAAGCGAGGGGAGATGATGACCTAAATTGGTAACTTTTTGACCCGGTCAAAAATCAGTTGTCCCATATGAGTGTTGTTCGGATACGACATTGTCTAAGACACCACGCCCAAAATTTTACACGTGGGATCCAAAAACAAGTCATGAAACATTTTTCTGGGAATTGTTTCAGGTAAGCTATAAGCTTTGTTAATCGTTGCTTTGTCTCACGTTATTACAATTTGTAGGGAACAGGAAGGGAGAGCTCAAAACTCAAAGGCCTTGTGTTGGAAACAAAGAGATGGGAAGTTCACGGCCCGCGATGTGCCTCATGCCGTCCGCCAGGCACCAGCGATGTCTCTGATGTCAAAAAATGAACTGAAGGAGAAACTCAGATTAGATCATTTCCAGCTTCACATTTATACTCTGGCTCTTCGCGAACTGTCACAGGAAGAGAAACCATCAGTCATCAAGTTTCAACAGCATCATTCAGTCCTTTCTTCCCATCATTCTCTTCTCCAAAAATTGCAGCAACTTGCCGGTCAAGTTCTCGTAATCATTCAATTAACAGTCCTTACAATCACAAACGACTTCATATACCACTCTCCACTCTTGAGCCTCCCAGCTCCCAAACTTCATACTATCTCCTCTTCCAGAGCTCCAAATGTTCAACCCCCCTTGGCCATCCGTCAACCACAACTGCCTTCCTACTCCAGAGCTTCCACCTACAGCCACAAACACTACATCATCAACAGCAAACACCACCACCTCACAATCAACCCAATCTAAAAGCAGCGAAATGGAACTCAAACGCAAAGCCACCAGCCTTCGCACCTCCTCTACCAGTTCCTCTTCCTCTTCCAACCTCGACTCCTCATCCCCTACCAGCACCCCATCCCATCTCCCATGCACCTCTCCTCAACCTCAAAAGAAAATCAAGCTAGTAATCCGCCAGCCAAAGAGGGTGCAAGAGATGGTGGAAGAGTCACCTATCTTGGGCCATGGAGTGCAGCCGAACTTCGCGAAGGTTGACTGGGTTGCTACCTCTCCGACACCGGGTGGGACTGGGGGTTGTAGATCGGGACAAGGAAAGGTGATGGGGATGGGGATGGATGAGGTGTCGCCTAGGAGTGGGACTTTTTGTGGTGGTGAGTAATATGTCGGGTCTGATGGGAAGGGAGATATCTGATGGGAAGGGAGGAAGAAAAAAGGACTGGAAATGGAAGCGGGAGTGAGAAGAAGGATGGAGAAGGGTCTTGAGTGGTTGTAGAGCAGAAGGGAAAGGAAGCGACAATGGGACGGGCTATGGATGTTTCTCAGGTTGGGGCTGCTGGCAGCGCCCAATGGAGCATACTACATGCAGATAATGGGAATTGGAAGACCAAACATTGTTTAACAGGCATATGGTTTGGAAGCATAGAGTGTAGCATAGAGCGGTCGGGTGTTTGAAACTGGATAGAACTGGTTGAGACCGTTATGTTGACTTTAATCCCAACTATCCACCCACTACTGCCGCCCTTCAAAAGTCCGACTATACCAACAATTCACCACTACGACAAAAATAGAGTGTTCTAACTTTAAGAAAAAGGAAGACATTCGAGAACACCGTGTAACGGAGGCCAAAAAAGCAAAAAGAAAAGTTTAGTGACAAGAGTGGGATTCGAACCCACGCCCTTTCGGACTGCGAGTCTCGAGTTTCTAGGAGAAACCTGAACACAGCGCCTTGGACCGCTCGGCCATCTTGCCTTTGGTTGTTGTTGAAGATTCGCTTCGGAATTAGACCTTATGTTGGTAGTCTCCAGTGGCTAGTGGGTAGACACGTATTGCGATATCCCTAGAGTGGTTGAGTATCGAGCACAGCTTTGGGTCGTGGGTTTTTCGGTTTGATGTTGATTGAGATTCAAGCTGCCCCACTGTTCTGTTTCTTATGACGAAAACGGGGACCTCGTGTATGTCTTCTCCGGAGGATTCTAACTTGTGGTGTTGGGTCGTTCCGCGATGCTGTCTGTCTGTCTGGGCCTATTATGCAGGTGTTACTCATTCCTGAAGTCCATCTGCATCTCGATCCGATGTGATGAACCCACCTTCGAGTAGTTCAACCTTCCTCCTCGGCACGGAGCCTTCCACCGGAACGCTCAACATCCGTTCCCAACTGTAGTCAAATCTAGCGAGCGGTGAAGTGCAATTCGCAGGCCAACAGCTGAGATGATATCCGCCAAAAAGACAGATGCAAACAGGGAATATCACTCACTTTCCACGTGTCTGCGGTCTGTCTTCTAGCGTAGAAACGAATTAGAAACACTGTGTAAGACCTTCAACAAGCGATGTCGTACAGTAGAACCCGCCATAACGGTTTTCCGGCACTCGTACCGAGCTCTGGTATTGGGCGCAGAATCGAGGGTAAGCATGGGTGATAGGGCAGCGCACAGTGTGCCTGCTCTGGAATTCCATCTCCCAATTCCATACAAATTCTTGGAACATTTTCAGCTACTCCCCGGAAGCACCTCTACCCGGACCTCTTGAGTGGGGTTTTATAGCGGGCATACGGACTTCCGGCCGGGTCACCGTCTTTATGTGATCATTGGCATCTAGCTTGACAAGGAAAGAATTAACGAAGTGCCTTTCTTTCAATGTTTACGTGCATCGTGATGCAGTTTTGTCACGAAACTATCGACATCTGGAACTGAAGTTGGTGATGAATTCTTGAGCAGTTGAGGGGAGGGTAACACTATCAGTTTTCTCACCTCCCTGTTATCAGGCGATGAGAAATGGTTCAGGGTCCAGAATAGCATCGACATTCCTATTCCTCTATGGTGACACCGATAGTACGGTTAGCCCCGTGTCTTCACATGTGGTCAAAGTCGCAGGTAGAGATCGATTCGTGGAACTTGTACCCACGAGACTCGATACCGCCACCGGCGCGCACATAGCACACAGTACCTATCGACAAACTCCTTTTTGACAGCTGCACCGTTTAATGCCAGGAATGCCAACGGGGACCCGACTATTTGGGCCATGGAACGTCGTGTTCTTCGCTTGAGCCTAGCAGGGATTAAACCCAACAACTTCAGGAGAGAATGTCTCGTCTGACTTGCACATCTGCAACTTCGATCTGGTATCTTTTCCAGGAACTTCTGCCTAGTGCCAATTTCTGAAGTATTCAAGATGGGGTGATCAAAAGCAACAAACGAAGCAAAGAGGAACCGCCCCAATTATGAACCCATGCGAAAGTGTGGAAGGTAGTGGGAACTGGTATGAACGGGTGATTGATTGGAAGTGGAAAAACAATACGCGTGACGGGAATCCTTGACGGCTCGGTGCCCGAGATCCCCTCGTTCTGCCCGCGTTTAGATTTTACACATGCCTATCTGGTTTTGGCAAGACTTTCGTCCCCCATATCTCTCTGCCGTGAAATGAATGCTACCAAACGGCATTAGTCCGACCCTCGGACGGAAGACGATAATGCGGGAATGCATGTGGTCAGCGCCAACCCAGGTACAGCAGGTCTGGGCAGGGCAGGGTCCTCCGCGACTTCGCAAGACGGTTGAGGTTACCGTAGGATACAAAAACTCCTCCACCTCCAATCTACTCTCAACTTTCCCTCCTTCAACCCACCCATGGAAGGTTGACCACTGCAACCTCAAGCCTCCATCATGCTTTCCTCGGGCCTTAACAAGATTTTGCTTGGTGGCCTCGCCCTCGCAACCACGGGAAGTTGCACCTGGTGGACTCCGCCCGCCACCGCCGCTGTACGACATCATCCATACTTCACTGAAATGTGAACCCAAATTGACTCTCTTCTGATCTAGTGCAAAGCTATCGACTTTGCTCTCCCTCGTGGCCGCGTCAACTACCCCGACTCTCCCGCTTACGCTAAGGAGAACACCTACTGGTCCAGCCGTCAAACCGACAACATCGCACCCGCCTGCTTCGTGACGCCATACAACGCATTTGAAGTCGCGACGACTGTGACGGTGCTTCGTGGGCTCAACACTCAGTTTTCCGTCAAAGGCGGCGGTCATACCGCTTTTGCGGGCGGTTCCAATTCCGATGGCGGCGTCACCATCGACCTGATGTACCTCACTGCGCTCAACGTGGCGGACGATCGTAAGACGGTATCGATTGGCGCGGGCAACAGATGGATCAATGTCTCCGAGGCCCTCGACACGCAGGGCCTGGTGGTAGTGGGAGGACGCGTGGCGGACGTGGGCGTCAGCGGTCTGATTCTCGGTGGAGGTATATCGTACTTCTCCGGAATGTACGGCTGGGCTTGCGACAACGTGCGCAACTACGAAGTCGTCACCGCATCCGGCAAGATCGTCAATGCATCTCCCATTAAGAATAAGGATCTGTATTGGGCGTTGCGCGGCGGAGGCGGCTCCAACTTTGGCATCGTGACGCGGTTCGACGTCGCGGCGTACGAGCAACCAGGCGGCAATATCTGGCACAACAGTCTCATCATCCCCGGCGCAGCCAACGCCTCGGCCATCGCCGCGTACCAGAACCTGACCGTCAACGGCATGCCCGCCGATAACAAGGCACACAGTTACATGGTCTTGACGCATATGGATATGCTCGGTGGTTATGCTGTCATTAGCGACCTGTTCCACGCAGACTTGCCAAACACGGCGGATGGTGTGGATGAGAGCGTCCCTGGAGTGTTCGAGCCGTTCGAGTCCCTGCCAACCATCATGAAGACCAAATCTATCGTCAACGTGTCGACCCTGTCCCGCTCAATCAACATCCCGTACGGTTCGCGCCAGACATGGTGGGACACGACAGTCAAAGCTACTGATCCTTCCCTTTTTACCGACATCGTACCTCTTTGGCAGGCTCATGTCGAGAAGCTTCAAGCCGCCGCAAATGGCTCAGCGGTGACTCCCTACCTGGCATTCCAAGCTATCCCACTCAACGTACTGAAGGCCATGGAGGCAAACGGCGGAAATGCGCTGGGCCTGAAGCAGAGCGATGGTCCCTTGATGATTGTCCAGCTGACAGCACAATGGGCGGACAGTGCGCTGGACGACTTGATGGAGAAGAGTTCCGAGGAAGTGATTGGTAAGATCAACAACCTTGCTAAGAGCAGAGGATTGAGCCATGGTTTTGTCTATGCCAATTACGCCGGCAGCAGGCAGAGTGTTTTTGAGAGTTATGGAGCGGCCAATCACGCCAAGCTGAAGCAAATCGCGCAGAAGTGGGATCCTAAGGGGGTTTTGCAGAAGCTGTGGAAGGGATACTTCAAGCTGTGATGGGCGTTCGCGACGCCACATATGGTGGGCAATTTGATCTGGCGAGGAACTTAGAATAAATCTCGGTAACCGGATGTGCCAAAGTACTGAAGACCTCCTACTTGCACGAGGTGTGCTGAAGGTATCTAGACTCCATAGATGGTCAGATCACCCACTTGAGGTAGTCACCGAAAAAAACATGAATAAAGAAATCATACGTACATTGTCTTGAATATTTCCCGTGAAGTGATGGTAATCAAGTGCGAAAGATTTTTCATTACATATCATTATCATTGCTCCGAGGTCAGAATGTGTTTGCAGCAAGTAAGCCGCTCGCATGCTTCTTTCAGAAGTTCGGAGTTGGCCTCATAGAGGACCGAGCAAAGGACGTCCAGCAAATCAGGCAGCCCATCCTTGAGGCCGGCTGCGGCGGATTCCGGCAACTCGGAAAGAGCTGCAACTTTGGAGAGATAAGCGGCAGCGCGATTGAAGTTGACCTGCTCAGGTTGCCTGGCACGGGAATTGATGGTTGAGACAGGCGCGGCACTCGTAAGTGTAGACGCGCGGACGAACGCCCAGATGCTTAGGGCAGAATAATACATGATCCACGGTCGGTGCGGATCAGGTTCATTGCGGCACGAATATGGCTGCATGGCAATTGGTGGAAGGCCCTGGCCTTTGTTTTGCCAATTCTGTTCGCCCTTGTTACCTCGTGGGTCAACAAGAATACAGTGGAGCACCTTGTAGGCATGAAGGATCGCATGGCGAGTCCCGGGCATGCTTGCCCATGCCTTCATTTTTGGAACAACCTTACTATAGGCTTGATCCGATATCTTTTGGCCCAAGAGACATTTTGCGCCGGCAAGGATCTGGCAGTCCAGAATGTCGGCAAACAACGAGAAGTGCGCAAGATGATAGAGTACTGCAGCACTCTGTATGGGGCCGTTTGCACCGGTATATGGCATGATGGGGTCGACCATGTTTGATCCTCCTAGAGACCCTTGGGCTTTGTCGAAGTAGGCCTTCCACTGATCAAAGGCGCTCAGCAGAGTCATCTTCCAGCTGTCACTTTTGCTGTTGGGGATCTTTGTAAGATCCATCAAATTGTGTGTTTCTTTGCGTCGAAGATGCCACCCGACACTGAGGAGACCTGACATAATGATCATGCGGCCGAATGAATGGGTCTTGACCTCTTTGCCGTGCAGTGCGAGTTTGAGGCCCTCAAGGAACGACACTGGTTTGACGCCATACATTCGAAGATTTTGATCCAACTGGCGAACATTGTCGGGATTCGAAGCCGACCACAGATTATCATCGCATGATAGGGGTAACTGTATCTCGTATGGGACCATGTCGGCTTTGTGACCGAACATGGCTGCATGGATAACGTCCAGCATAAAGGCAGCAAAAACGACGCGATGCATTGACTCAGTTTGTGCCCAACGAGACCACCAAGTACGAGAGTCCAAGCTCGGCCCATTTTGAGTGCTGCCGTTGTAATCTGCTGAACCAGCAGGT